AAATGTACAGTGCTCTCTCCCACCTTCAATACCACGACTGAGGCGCCCTTGAGCAAGGCACCGAACCCCCAACTGCTCACCGGGCGCCACAGCATAAATGGCTGCCCACTGCTCCGGGTGTGTGTTCACGGTGTGTGTGTGTTCACTGCTGTGTGTGTGCACTTAGGATGGGTTAAATGCAGAGCACTAATTCTGAGTATGGGTAACCATACTTGGCCACATGTCACTTCACTAAATGTATCTTAAGATCTCTTTGTGCACTATCAAATCTATTGCAGTTGAACAGATGTTGCATTGCTGAGCCTGATATGTTTTCACATATCAGGCTCGCAGCGCCTTTGATATCTTTGTAATTTTTTTTAATTTTTTTTTTATATCTTTGTAATTCTTGACCTACAAAGCAAAGGCTTCACATCACGCCCAAGAGGAACGCAAACATCAGAGTGCAGACTTTGTTGTTGACTGTCTTGTCTGACAAATTCCCTTTTGAGCAATAAATTCCTGACAAAGATACATTTGTTTATTTATATCACTATACTAACCTCATTAACAATGATCTCTCTTTTATTCTCTCTTTCCGCTTGTCCTGGTGGACATTGTTGTTTTTAGAACGTAAACTTAAACTTCGAAAAAGTAAACAACCAAACCAATAAATAAATAAAATAAGTGTTTTATTTTTTTCTTTCTTATCCAATTTATTCACTATTATACACTACCCCTGTTCAAAAGTTGGGGGTCAGTAAGATTTCTTTCAAAGAAATTCATGCTTTTATTTAGCAAGGATGCATTCAATTAATCAATATGAACACTGAAGACTGGTGTAATGACTGGTGAAAATTCAGCTTTGCCATCACAGGAATAAATTATAATTTAAAATATATTAAAATAGAAAACAGTTCTTTTAAATTTCACAATATTACTGTTTTTACTGGATTTTTGATCAATGCATACCAAATCAATGCAGCCTTGTTGAGCATACTTCTTTTAAAAAATTATCAAAACATTTATAAAAAAGGATTTTAGCATTTGCATTAAGCATGTTTTTTCCCTGCTGTCTGACGTTTTACCAGATTGATGATAAAGCCATTAGGATCAGAAAGGACAACCACTAAGCACAGAGATATCAATAAAAAAGTCATGAACTTGATGCTTATTGTGCATGTCAAGGGTCCTCTCACACAGACACTGAACAAACTTTGACAACATAGTTGGTTCCTGCAAAACAAAAAACAAAAAAACATTTTGGGAGTAAAACTGTTTGTTTTGCTGAGATAAAGTTGTATTAATCTGCTGTGTTACATAGATTTGGAGCATCTTTTATTAATAATATATAATCATATACTGTATAATCTTCACAAAAGATAAAGAATCCATGTTGGTCCTAGAACACAATAGCTGTTCTTTTACTGTGAATTAACAAACATATCTGATTACAGCATCTAAGAGAACAGATTGCCACCTTACTCCTCAGCTTAATTTACCATTAATAATTTAAAAACTGACACCTTTGTTGGCAACAACGTTGTTTCAGACACTATTCCACTGGTGACGGTCTCCCTAGCCTTTGGACTTCTTTGTAAAAAGCAGATTTAATTAGTTTCGTTGAACTAAATGGCTTGGCTACAGTATAATAAGAGCTGTCCATGGCATTGGATTCTGAACTAGCTTTTCATCTGGTCTGGTTTCTTCTTGAAAAATATCTACAGATTTCTAATCTCGCTGGATAAGTGAAAGTCGAATAATGGCGAATGAGAAGATGCTTCCAGCCCAAGAGGCTGCCAAAATCTACCACACCAATTATGTGAGAAATGCCAGGGCCATCGGTGTCCTGTGGGCCGTTTTCACCATATTCTTCACCATCATTACTGTGGTGGTCTTCATTCAGCCCTACTGGATTGGTGACAGTGTTAACACGCCGCAAGGCTTTGGGCTTTTTCACTACTGTATTGGCAACCCCCATCACCTCCGAATTGGTCTGCAAAGGAAGTGTGTTTGATTTTGGTTCGATCCCCTCTGGGGCTTTTAGGACTGCTATGTTTTTTGAAGGCACCATTGTGTGCTTGGGTCCTTTCTTCTTCTGCAACTCCGCAAGTATGTACAAGATATGCGCATGGATGCAAACATCTTCAGGTGTGCAAAGTGTTTAGTTAGCCTTGCTAATAAGCATAAATACATAAAAGCAGTTTTAAAAAATAGCAAAATATTAAATATTGTTTATTCATTTATTTATTAAGGGTAGACACCTGTATACGGTTAGAAATGTATTTGGTTGTTTGCTTATTTGCTTGCTATCGATCACCAGGCTGTGAGGGTCAGTCACACAGTCTATTCAATAACGTGTTAAAGGGAAAAGGAAAAAAATCTTTATTCATTGATTTATTTACTTACTATTTTTTTCTTTGTTTTTTTTCTGTAGCAATAAAGTCATACAGCTTTGGACAGAACAATTACAGAATTTCCTTTTTTGGCCTGAATCCATTTAAACTTTTAGATTAATTTCTCAACATCTTTTTCTGAGTTTTCTGGCACCAGGGAATATTTTGGAAAGACATATTTTAAGACATACACTACCATTCAAAAGTTTTTCAACAGTAAAACAGTAAGTCTCTTCTGCTCAGCAAGCCTGCATCTATTTGATCCAAAGTACAGCAAAAACAGTAACATTTTGAAATATTTTTACTATTTAAAATAACTGTTTTCTATTAGAATATATTTTAAAATATAATTTATTCCTGTGATTTCAAAGCTGAGATTTTAGCATCATTACTCCAGTCACATGATTCTTCTGAAATCATTCTAATATTCTGATTTGCTGCTCAAAAAATTTTTTTTATTATTATTATGTTGAAAACAGCTGAGTAGAATTTTTTCAGGTTTCTTTGATGAATAGGATGTTCAGAAGAACAGCATTTATCTGAAATAGAAATCTTTTGTAAAATTATAAATGACTTTATCATCACTTTTGATCAATTTATAGCACCCTTGCCCCCCCCCCCCAAAAAATAAAAAAAATAAAATTATACTGACTCCAGGCTTTTGAATGGTATAATATAATGTCACAAAAGCTTTTTATTTCAGATAAATGTGGATCTTTAGATTCATCAAAGAATCCTGAAAAAATGTACTCAACTGTTTTAAATATTGATAATAATAATAATCATAATAATAAATGTTTCTTGAACGGCAAATCAGCATATTAGAATGACTTCTGAGGGATCATGTGACACTAAAGACTGGAGTAATGATGCTGACAATTTTTTATATCTTTTTATATAAAAAAATATATATACTTTTATCAAAGGAATAAATTACATTTTAAAATATATTCAAATAGAAAGCAGTTATTTAAACAAAAAAAAGTAAAAAATATTTCACAATATTACTGCTTTTGCTGTATTTTGGATCAAATAAATGCAGGCTTGGTGAGCGGTGAGAATTCTTTAAAAAATATACAAAACCTTACTGTTCAAAAACTTTTGACTGGTAGTGCATTTGTTGCGTCAGCGAATTTAAAAACATTTGAACTGTGCGTCTATCCCTCACAACCTCGTTTTCATTCGTGAAAAATTTAATATTGCCTCTACCCTGAATAAATGGATATTGTAATTTTTCTATACAGAGGGAGAAGTCGACAAATGTAATCTTTGCACTTGGTGTTGTAGCTGTGTTGATGGTGACGGGTTGCATGATTTATCCGGACGGCTGGGATGCTCCGGAGGTAAAGCGGATGTGTGGCGAGCGGACGGACAAGTACACGCCGGGGAACTGCACCGTTCGCTGGGCTTATATTTTAGGCATTATCAGCATCCTGGACGCAGCGTTACTGGCACTGCTTGCTTTCACTCTGGGCAACCGGCAAGACAAACTGCTGCCAGACGACTTCGAGGTGGAGAATAACGGTAAGAGAAGCACTGATTAAGGAATGATTTGGAGATTAATCAGAATGTATTTATTACTCCTAATTCAGAGCAGAACATGAAGTTAGTTACACTGGCTATGAGCTGGATAGATTCTCACTTTAAAAACACAGCCAGAATGTGCCGATTAATTGATTATTAATGTAAGATTAATAATAGAATTATCCATAAATAATATGGATAAATAATAAATACGTTTCTATCCTTCTAAATAATTATTCATGACTATATTTAGGATGCAATAGAAATACAAAATGCACGATTTTAGCGATGTTGTTTCCATTTGTTTATAGATAAAGCCTGAATCCAACCGATATGAACTGCAGTGGACATGGAACTGGAGATTCTTTAGTTAAAGTCAAAGGAAATTATATTAAAAAATAATAATAAACCTGAATAAACTTTGTCCGAAACCTAACCCCTAAATTTCAACTTATGAACATGATATTGAAATTAAAAAAAAGATATTTTTTCCATTGTTGTTTTTAAAAGCATCTTTTTGATTCTTTTGAAAAGTGACGTTCAAAAAAATATTTATTTTATATTTTCTTCGTCAATTATGAAATTTTATGTAAGTGTCCCACGTTTTTCATGTCACTACCAAGACAGTGTATGTTTTAGTCAATTGGCCGAGACTGATTTTAACCACAACCCTAAATTTATGATCAGAAAATATTTATATGTCCCCCTCTCTCATAGCTACAAGGTGTGAGTATGTCCCATCATTTTGAGGTAAATGTGTTAAATGAAACAAAATTTGAAAAATCTGAATAGCATCTTTGAGCTAGGTTCAAAAGTATCTAAAATTGTCACTACTGAAACATTTAGTGGAGTTTCAGTATAGTGGCATCTTTGTTTTTTGGGGTGTTATCCCATAGAATTGTCACTACTGAAACATGTCATCATTGTTTTGGTAGTGAGAAAAGGGAGCACATAATCCTCATATTTGGGGGAAATAAACTAAATTTTAGTACAGTTATGCAATTTTTTTTTGTATTTTAGTGTGTTTTAGTATGCGAGTTAAAATTCTGTAATGTGATGTGGTTGCTACCGAAGCATTACTGTCACTACTGAAAATGTGCAATCACTACCCAAACATGGGATGTTTTGTCAAAAAAGTATACTGAATTATCAACTAAGATGTTATGATAGTTTCTTGGTTCAATGTATATTCAAACTAATGAATCCTTAACTTTGAAATCAGTATATGATCAACTTTTTGCCTTTTACAAAGAAAAAATGGATTCAAAATACAACAAATCTCAAATATTCAGATTGAAATATAGTTAAAAATGTAATTGTTATTTACCTCTGAAAAAAACTTTAATAAAAGAGCAAATATATATATATACACACATTACAATGTAGATGTAAGCAAAGTCTTAATAGGTCAATATAACCCTTCTAATTAAATTTTTATTACTGTGTCAAATTTGGGGAGAGGACAAATATTCCAAAACTTTCTGAAAATGCAATATGAGAATGAACGGCACAATTACTAGAAATGTGTACCTTGGATATTATACGATTTGCATACATACATACCTAAGGTTACAAAGTAAAACTGTCAATCCAGATCAATCCCAGATTGACAACCACTGGTTATGATGTACTAAAATGTTATCAAATATAACAACATACACATTTGTTTTCCTGCACTCTTTGCCTATTGTTTTGCACAGATTTAGCAACACAACAATTATTTAATCTTAACTTTTATCTGTACAAAAGATCAGTGCACATTACAATGAAAAGTAATCTGCTTTATCACCTCCATTTTATAACATTTTACATTTTTTGAAAACCGCAAATTAGACCAACAGGTGCACCCATCTTCCAAATGCTTTATTAAAACACTTCTATCCAGCTAAATAATCTTAGCTTGGATGCAATAGTAGGATTTCTTTTAAAAACTGGCAGGAGCTCCAGCATTGGAATCAGGAAATCAGTGAAGGTCTCTGCCTCCTCCCGAGGCCACTCGTATTTATCCATCAGAACATCCAGCAAACCCCACGGCTTCAGTTTAGTGATGTGCTTCAGGTCACCTACAGAAATCACACAATTAGAGTCCAGGCTTTTCATTCCATGCAGTAGTCTAGTACTGTTTTTTTCCCTTGTAACTTTCTGGCATTAACATGTTTCCCCACAAAGCCACATAAAAACATTAAACTTCATTTCAAAGTGATAATGGGATGCCTTTCAGATTGAATATATATTCAAAGAAATCAGGGCTGTCATCGTTAACACGTTAACGCATGCGATTAATTTTACGCCCAATTCATGAATTGTGGGTCTGTCGCGTCAGGTCCGTTGCTCGCGGCAGAAGTTGAAAACCTTTCAACTTTAAGCGCCAACGCAGGCGTGAGCCAATCAGATCGCCTTATGCAAATACCCTTGCATTTAGATTTGTCATGTTAATATTGCTGTGCTTAGTTATACGGAATGGATCCGTGTACTGTAGATATATGCAGTCAGCAGGCGGTTGGTTTAGGTTTTTTTTGGCATCTCCATGTGGTCCTGTTCGGTATCGCAACTTGGCTTCTCTAAAATGTAAAAATGCTCTTTGCTGTTGCACTGTACACATACTATAAAATTCTGATTTTTTTTTCATTCATATGTGCTTATATGGGCTCCTTATATCATTTGGTTCTTTGGTGTCCTTTTGGAGTTTCTAAGTGTCCTTTTTTGGAAAGACATCTAAATTTATCTTGAAAAAAGCTTGCAGAAAATATAGATTTTTGAGAATCACCCTTCAGTCTTTTGGTTTACTTTGCTGGATATAGATTTGAAACAAGATAAATGGTCTATGCTTAATTTCATGAAGTGTGTGATTAATTGCGATTAATCACAGAAAAAGGATGCGATTAATCAGATCAAAAAGTTTAATCGATTGACAGCCCTAAAAGAAATAAATAATAAAAAAAGAAACGTTAATACATTTTAATTACAAAGACAAACATTTTTGGAATAATGGGCACTGGTAAATTGTGCAAAAATGTGCATTAAATTCAAAATTCTGATTTCATGTTAACTGTAAAATGTACGGAAATCCAAACGTACATAAAACATGCATTAATGAGGCTTTGCTTAGAATTTGTTTGGGGTCAGTACATTTTTTTTTTAAAGCAATTACTTTTATTCAGCAAACACGCATTAAATTGATCAAAAGAAACTTTTACATTGTTTCATAAGATTTCCATTTCAAATAAATGCTGTTCTTTTGAACCTTCATGGTTTCCACAAAATATTGAGCAGCATAACTGTTTTCAACATTGATAATAAATGCAGGGCTCGCAAAATCGCTAGCCTGATGTCCCGGAGCTATTGTGTTTTCCAGTCAGGCTGCCAAAATGTATCACTGCATCTTGAATAGTGAAATAAAATCCCTTCCTTGATTTGCATTGTTCACTCACTTGTTATGGTTAAAGAGATCTTAGTTGATCATTTGCATGCATTTCTATGTCTTGCTGATTTAAACAGTCAAGCGTTTTAAACCATTCAAGCGCAAGAAGAGGCGAAAGAATTTGGTACTGACGCGCTGTTATTTGTGCGCACACACACACTTACCTCAAAATAGCTTATTATCTTAAACAGTTGGTTATGTCTTAAGTGAAGTGAACACAAACAAAGAAATTGGATGTGTATCATTACATTAGATTGTCAGGTCTTAAAGGGCCAGCAGCCTACAAATACCTGCTGCTGTCTGTGTCAGTAATGTTAATCAAACAACAAAACACAGCTTTAGCAAAGATTAATCTATATTTAATTTATACAGTGAACACTATGCAGTGTTATTTTACACTTATTACATTTCAGTGCCTGAAAACTAATGTTAGACCTTACTTTATTTGTAGCTTTGTTATATTTTATCTATGCTCTTATTTTAGTACCGAGCATTCATTTGTCTTTAATAATGTTTGACTTTTATTAGTTATGCTACTATCTTTTGCTGTGGTATCGAAGAAATACTTAAAGTGTCCTTTAAATAATAATAAAACAAATTTTGCTCACCAAAAGAATCTGATCGGTGACTCAAAACCCGTAATGTGATCCGAACCATGAGATTTGTAATCTGTTGCACCCCTATAGTCTTGACTTGTTATTTGAAGTAAAATAGTGAAGTTTCCAAACAAGTTGATTTGTCCACAGTGAAGTTCGACCAATATCTTTTTTATTCTGGCTAGTTAAATTCATTTTGGGCTACAAAAATCTGAAGAATGCCTGGCCGAAAGTACATTTTAAAATTTTGCGAGCCCTGAAATGATTCATGGGCACCAAATCAGCTTATTAGAATGATTTCTGAAAAACCATGTGACACTGTAGACTGGAGTAATGACTGCTGACAATTCACCTTTGCCATCACAGGAATAAATTAGAATTTAAAATAAAATAAATATAAAATATATTTTAAATTCTAATATTTCACAATATTATAGATTTTACTGTCTTTTTAATCAAATATATGCTGCCTTGGTGAAAAACTTTTAAAAAATGTTATCAACCCCAAACATTTGAACAGGAGTGTACATACTCATTTTTAATAAAAGCATCATGACTAGGTATAAAATGCATTCATAATGGCCACATTACCTTTCTTGGTGAAAAACTCCTTGGAATATTTTCCGGTCAATATGAGTTTGCGTGGGATGGCCCCCAGCAGTTCAATGATCAAAGCAATGTGGTCTACCATCACACACAGAAAGTGTCGAGCAGGGAGGGGGTGGTGAGGTGGAGGGGAGGACCAAACATTGGACAACTTGATCAGACAGTGTTAATACAGTCATTCACCCATCCTGAGAGCAGAGAGACGAGAGGGAAAACAAGGAGATGCAGCCATGTCCTGACAGCACAGACGGCGGTCACATAGTGATCTATTTTCACATCAGAGATTCAGATTAAAGATTTCAAGAATTGGACTTGTGTAATGCAGAAGTGTTTTTGAGGTTCTCCTGCCTCTGTTGGAGCTTCAAGCTAATTCAGTCATGCCACAATTCAGTGGCTTTGAAGCTACAACAGTTCGTCTATTGTGATTGGGGCTGCCTCAGACTTGTAAGAAAGCCTTCTTGTGAACAACTGGACATTTGCTGAAGAAGATTTTTGCAAAACCTTCAGGAAAAATTTTTTCAAAAAAGTGTGACAAGGCTGTGCTGTCAATGGAGCTGCTGGATCACCTCTCTTCCCTTCAAACCCCTCCCTCAGGGCAGGGCTCTTCATGACTGACAGGTGTACCTTTACAGCTGAAATATTCCTGTGAAAATTTCCCACTCAGAGCATAGTGACGGGGGATATGCCCCAAAAGCTCAATAATAAGAGCAAGGTGGTCTGAGAAAGAGAGAGACAGAGAGAGAGAGAGAGAGAGAGAGAGAGAGAGAGAG